TCAGCTGCCTCCTGCACACCTCCCGCTGGGGATGTGCCCGCAACCAAGGTACATGTCCTTGACCGGAATCGAACCTGGGACCTTTCAGTCCACAGGCTGACGCTCTATCTACTGAGCCAAACCAGTTAGGGCTGTAGTGGTCAGATTCTCAAATGTAATTCTTACTTAGAGTCTCAGAATATCCAAGTTGAAGGTACCTTAAGTAATCATTTAGTCCAACTTCTCACAGTGTGTAAGCCAAGGAAACTAGGCCTGGAGATACCCAGACATGGTGAAGGGCATAGATAAATTCAAATTCCACTGCTCCCAACACTCAAACCTATGAACTTTCTACTCCCCCCTATTCAGATGGGCAATTTTAGATTCAGACAAACCCAGGGCTAAATTCCAGACCTGCTACTGATTACCTGTGATCTTAGGTAAATATTTTAACTTCCCAAGACCAGTTTCTTCATCTTTAAAATGATCCTAATATATAAAAACCCAAGGTCCGTAACAACCGACCGAAGGCTCAACCAAACACTGGAAGTTAGTCCTGCAGTCAGTGCTGGGTTGCCATGGCGACCCAGTACTGACTGCCACTGGTGCGGGCACAGCAACCCAGCACTGACTGCTGAGGGAGCTGCAGATCAGGCCTGGAGAGGGGCCCGGAGAGAGAGCAGGGTGTGATCCGTAGCCTCCATGGTAGCTGTTGATCAGCCATTGCCTCTCTCTCTCTTTCTGGGCTTTGCCAGCAGCTGGGCGTCTGTTTCAGGGCCTTCGTGGGGGCTGCTGATCAGCCCCGCCTCTCTTATCAGGCCTAGAGATAGGCCTGGAGACGCTGGCTGGCATAGAAACCGACCAATGAGAACCAAATCTGGGTGAACTGTGAGGAGCCAATGGCTGCCTAGGAGGCAGAGCTTTCGACGCTGACTGACATAGAAACTGACCAATCAGAACCAAATTGGCTAGCAGGAGAGGGCTGGCAGAGGCAGTTAGGGGCGATCAGGCCAGCAGGGGAGAGCAGTTGGGGCGAGATCAGGCTGGCAGGGGAGGGAAGTTGGGGATGGGGTGAGATCAGGCTGGCAGGGGAGGGCCATTGGGGGCAAAATCAGGCTGGCAGGGGAGGGCAGTTGGGGGTGAAATCAGGCTGGCAGGGGAGGGCAGTTGGGGGCAAGATCAGGGTGGCAGGGGAAGACAGTTAGGGGCGATCAGGCAGGCAGGTAGGTGAGCAGTTAGGAGCCAGCTGTCCTAGATTGTGAGAGGGATGTCCTAAACCGGCAGTCAGACATCCCCCAAGGATTCCCTGATTGGAGAGGGTGCAGGCTGGGCTGAGGGACCCCCCCACCCTGCACGAATTTCATGACCAGGCCACTAGTATTAATAATACCTATCTCTTAATATTACTGTGAAGATTAAAAGTGGTAATGTGTATAAAACACTTAATACAAATACTAAATAAAGGATAACTAGTAGTAAGTATAGATATAAATAGGTATAACATGGATAAAAGTGGGTAATTAGGCAATGTGGGCAGTTCTAGAGATATAATCACCCCCTAACACATCTTTTCTTTTGATTTGGTGTGAGAGCTGAAAAGAGATTGAGAGTGATGGAGGAGAGGGCTTCCCAGCACATACCGAACCCAGCCAAGAAGTGGGCTCTAAAGTCACTTGGGTCCCTTTGTGTTCATCTCTCACTCTCTTCCTCAGTCTGTCATAACTCGTGTGCCAGCTGCTCGGGACCCAGGGCCTCTCACTGTACAGCCTGCGCCCACTCTCGGGCTCTGCGCCACGGCCGCTGTCTGCCCAACTGTGGAGAGGGCTTCTACCCCGACCGCGGGATCTGCAAAGGTATCATTGGTGTCATCGTATTCTTAAGAGACTTTCCCATCTATAAGGACATAGATTTAAGTTACTATATTTTTACTGATTGATTTTAGAGAGAGAAAGGGAGAGAGAAACATTGATTCGTTGTTCCACTTATTTATGCATTCATTGGTTGATTTTTGTATATACCCTGACCGGGAATCTTATGCACAAATCCAGGGCTCTAACCAACTGAACTCCCCGCTCAGGACCTAAGTTACTTTTCAGTTCAGCTTTTCCTCTGGTATATCTTATATCAGTGATGGCGAACCTAGGACACGCGTGTCAGAGGTGACACGCGAACTCATTTTTTTGGTTGATTTTTCTTTGTTAAATGGCATTTAAATATATAAAACAAATATCAAAAATATAAGTCTTTGTTTTACTATGGTTGCAAATATCAAAAAATTTCTATATGTGACACGGCACCAGAGTTAAGTTAGGGTTTTTCAAAATGCTGACACATCGAGCTCAAAAGGTTCGCCATCACTGTCTTATATGGCAATATATACAGCATATGCTTTTTTTTCTTACCAAGAGATAATCTGAAAAATTACATTTCAATATCTGTGAAGACTCCCACAGGTTCATGATGTTTTTGGCCATCCTTCAGAGGAATGCCATTTCCTTTGCCATGCATTAGAACCACTCTCATTTCCTCCCTTTTCTATTCTCCTAGCATTGCTAATGTCTGCCTTAGTCTTCATTTTGTTTTTCCCTGAAGAAGCTCTTTTTGTTAATGATACTGCCGAGCACACTGAGCATCACCAGCAATGCCTCTGGGCTGAGGAAAATGGAAAAGCTTAAAGAGCTGTTTGCCAAGAAAGGCTTTGGGCTCCTTTGGAGGGCAGCATCATTTCAGCTTTTTGGAACTAGAGCATTGGGAGCAAACACTTCAAATGAAATTAACTTATATTTATTTATGCACAGGGCACCTTAGAAAAGAGCTTCAGAATAGTTACAAGCAAAACGTTTTTAAAACAGGCAGCTGCAATAAATATTATAAAAAGGAGAATGTAGTGAGTCTTTTAAAGAACAGGAAAGCTAATTGTATAAAATGTGGGCCCGAGAGAACTCGTGTACTCCATTTGGCTCTGATTTCCACCAGTAGCCAGGGAAAACAAGGAGCTGTGATGGATTATGAAATTATTGTGGCTGCTCAAAAGAGGCCCCTTCCTTGTTTAGAAGAGCAGCCTTTCCTCTCATAAATTCTAAAGGGAATTTGTTGTCTGGACCCCTATATACTGGGTGATGAATAACATAATGGACAATATCACAATGACCATGTTTGCAAAAAACACAGCAATAGCCTTTATGTGAATGCTTCTTAAAACCTTCAATAAAAACTGAAGACATAATGTTAAATCGCCATTCAGTGAATGTGTTTCTCTGGAGAACCAAGCCAATATTGTCCATTTTGCTGTTATTCTTGTGTTGTGTTTTGTTTTTCTTTTTAATCTCGCTAGGCAGCTCTTACGGGACCTGAGAGATATGACTAGTTAGCCTCACCCTCATTTTGCCCTTCGCAAGTATTATTATTATCACCTTGTGTTTTGGTATAGCACACTAGAAAAACAATATTCTGGAAGGATGTATCTGGTGAACTTCTCTTAGTGGTTTTGATTTAATGATAGCCCCCACATTGGTTGCAACCTATATATGACCCTGGGATTGTTTTCTGCATTCTTTTCCTTTTGGCAGCTTGTCATTCCTCTTGTCTGACTTGTGTGGGTCCAGAGCGCTCTCACTGTACCCAGTGCAAGAAGCCAGAGGAGGGACTGCAAGCCGAGCGGCTGTCTGGTGTGAACATCAGCTCGGGCGAGTGTCTGTCTCACTGTAGAGCCCAGTTTTACTTGGAGAACACTGGGCTGTGTGAAGGTGAGTGATCATGATTTGAGAAAACGTTAGGTACCTTCTGGCCTTACTACTTCAGAGATCCTGTGAGGTGAAGCCACAGCCAGGAAGGTCTGTGTTTTCATATAAGTACAGTTCTGGGATGCTCATGGATGAAGCAGAAGGCTGACATGCCAAAGAGGGCCCTGCTGATGTTCCCCTTCCCTTTGTGAGGAATAGATGATCTGAAAGAGCTGGTTCCTTTCACCCCACACTGTCCCCAAAGTTATACTCGGAAGTTCCAGACAGGAATTCTTTCAGAGGCCAGTATGAGGAGCTAAGAAAGACTCAGTGCTCATGTAGAATTCTGTTTATTATTTCTTCTAATTTGCTACTCGGAATATGAATTTGTTCCTTCAGGGCAAATTCTGGACTTCTGTCAAAATTTAGAAGTGATTCCTGTCATTGCCTTGGCATATCTATAGAAAATTGATGTCATCCTGAATAATTTGATTTAATAGCTAGGTCAAGAATGAGTGGTTGAGGAGAAAAAGGGGATATAT